ACATTGCCCGGAAGGTTCAAGGGCCCGCGAAGGACAAGTGGATTGCGGACCGCAAGATTCTCCAGGCCGGCGTGCCGAAGGGCCTCAAGAGCACATGGACGAGCCAGAAGGCGATCAAAGAAGCGCTGCAGTACCTCGTCACCAAGGACGGCCTCTTCGGCCAGCAGGGAAAGCCTCAGTCCCAACATCCGCTCTACATCTTCGAGTGCAACGAGAAAGGTCGTTGCGACACCCCAGGCCCGGTTCTTGGGGAAAAGAACAACACCTTCCATCGGCACATTGAGTCTGGGCTCGATCAAAAGGCCGTGACGGAGACTCGGGTCTGGTGGCCGCACGAGATCGCTTGGATGGGCGGCGAGCGGCGAGTTTCGCCGGAAGAGTTGACCAGGCTGGGTTTGGTGGAACTTCACGCACACAGGGTCCTCAACCGGTGCGTGGCATGATGACATTGCCTGTCCGACTTCACTGACTTGCATTTCCCAGGAATCGCCAGCTCCTCCCTGCGCATCTGCGCAGCCTCGACTTTTCCAAGATCAACCTCGACCACGGTTGCGTCTATGAGTCGACAAAGAAGCCGTTTGACTTTGACGTGGCTTTTCTCGCGGCCTTTCACCTTTTGCTTGAGAACCAGGACGTCGCTGTGCAGGTTCCTGATCACCTTCGCGGCAGCTATGTCAGCGACCGTGACAACCTCCGTTTGATTGTCGAACACATCCTCGACAACCCGGCAGTGCTGATCCGGGTCGCAACCTGCGGCAACAAGGACCGAAAGTGCACCTCCTGGGCGCTGCGCACCGGCTCTGGGCAGATCCAGCACAAGTGCAAGGAGGCGCAGTTGGCCAAGAGGCCCTGCACTGTCGTGGCCGAGATCGGGTCCTTCGCGGAGCTGCCTGCCGAGATCCAGGCCAACATCGTCGCGATAGCGAGACTGCCGGACACCTCGAAGACGAAGACCTGGGACAAGCTCCGGGCGGTTGGACTCGACAGGCTCTTCGGCTGGAACATCCCCAAGCCGCCGTCGAAGAAGCAGGCGACGCTGACTTTGGCGGCTCCGGCCGTCAAGCAGGTGAGCTCCTTTCTGCTTCTTCCGACACCGTCGTTGACTGATCGCGTAGGGATCCAAGTCGAGTGCGCCGACGCCCGCGCCCCCGACGGCCGGCCCTCCGTCCCCGCCTCGGGCTCCTGCCAAGCCGCTTGCTCCGAGCCCCGGACGCTCGAGCAACACGCCGATTGGCGAGAAGCGGCCGGGGGCAGGGTTTGGCGAGGGGTCTGAAAAGCGGCGGCGCTTGAAGGAGAACGTTTGAGAGGGTACGGCCAGAGCAAGGACAGACGGGTAGCAAGGACAGAGGGTACGGCCAGAGCAAGGACAGACGGAGCCGACCGAAGCTAGAGTAGAGAGACCAAAGTCTATACCAGATGTCGCGCCAGTACACTATTCCCTCAGATCGTTTGCCAAAGCTAACGCGCTGGTCCACCAGCTTATCTCGTAGGTCATGGAAGTACAATGCGGAAGACGCCGCCGTATCGCCAAAGAAGGCAAAGCTCTTCAAAGTCACCATATCCTGTGTCGCCCACGACTCTGCGCCGGGCTTGGGGACCCAAGAGACAACCATCGAGTCCTCGGCCAGTGCCATGTCCTTCAGCACGCGTGGAAGTGCTTCCCTCGAGTGCTCGTCGGGTCCAAATGTCACGCGATCCCCTTCTCAAGCAGGAAACCAAGCCGGAAGCTTCCACCACGTGGTTTCGCCCGAGTCGCAGCGGAGCAACTCGGTGAGGGCCGCTAAGCTCAAGGTTGCCGCGGCAGCGAGGGCAGCTCAGTCTCCAAGTACCATCATAAGCGAAGCCACGCACAACCAGCCCCGGGCACCAGCGCGAGAACGGCTCCAGCAGCGTGACGCCCCTTCCTGGGACGGCAGACAAACGTTGGCCGGGATCTGCGTGCCCAACGGTGGCAGTCCCGCACGCAGGGCGCCCAAAATCTACCGCCACTGCTGAAGAACGATCTCAAATAGCAGCAGCGGCGACAGGCCCACGGCAATTGGGCGAAAGGACCCCCAGCTCCGCGACACGATCCACAGCAAGGGCCAGCTGGATCACGCGGAGACCTGGACGTTGCCAGCTCTTCCAGTTCAGGTATCAGGTCTACTGCAAATGGGTCGATGTACTGTTCTCGCCGGAGTTGCGGTCCGAAGCGCGGTGGGAGCGAAGGCGACCCGTGACAAGGGTGTGGCCGAGCCGTGCGTGCCGCCGGGATGTGCGACCCCGTTCAAGACCCTCCCAGGATCATCCAGGATGTGGTTGTCCGCCTCGACGAGCCGGGAATGGGAGCCGAGCGAGGTTACGGGCGAGCAGAGGTCGGCGGTCCCCCGCGCGGTCCGGAAGCCCATCGGGCAGCGGCGGTCAAAGTAGCGGTACGCGGGGAGCCCCTCCGAGCTCTACCCGCCACGGAGACGCCGGCAGCGGCCCGCTGGCTGGGAGAGGGACCGCGATACGGGAGAGTTGGGCGGCGCGGAGAGCACAGTTGCGCGCCGGCGTTGGAGCCCCGGCGGGGCCCGCGCCGCGCTTTTCAGATTGCGCTTTCTCTTGGTCTAGGCCGCTGGGCAGCGCTGCGCCTTGGCACGCCGCAATAGGGTGCAGGACGATGCGCTTCGCAAGCCCAGCGCCGCCACAGCCTGCTCCTGCTTCGCTGGGATCCATGCCGTCCGATCCCGATGAAACGGAGCGGGCAGTACACAACCTCATCAAGGCCGATCTTGGTGAAGTTCTTCTTGGCTCGTAAAGTAGCTCGCCTTCCTGGCCGTTCTCATTAGGCGCGTGCTCGCTGTCAAAGGGGTCGTGTTGCTCATGTGGAGGCTCTTCTTTGCCTCCCCATCTCCCTGCCCTGGATCCACGGCAGCAGGATCGGGTGGTCAAAGTAACGTAACTCGAGCCCTCGTCTTCTGTCTTTGGACACCGTGCCCGGATCTTTGTCGCCCGAGTCCGCGTCAGCGAGCTCGCCCGCCTCGGGATCGTCCAAACCATTCTGCCATTCCGGTGGAATCGTCGGCAACGCTCCTTCCTCGGTCCGAGGGACCGGCTCCGGCACGTCGACCTCCATCGCGATGGGAGAAGGCGGCCGAGCATTCGGCAACTGCGCCCGATGAGGGCCCACAGCTCTCCGGATATTATCCGTTATCCGGGTTTCCGGGCCCCGTTATCCGACTGCCGGCACCGATATCCGGCCGTCGGCGTGCGTTATCCGGCGTTATCCGGCGCGGGAGGGGCGTTATCCGACTCCGTGGGGGTCCTGGCCGGGCGGGACAGGGAACTGAATGGCGGGAAGCAAGTGCCCGCTCATGCTTCCTATTCTAGCACTAATGGACAACAATTCCAAGTGGGGAGCTGTCTTCTCCGACCACTCTTCGTGCTACGGTCGTTCCTATCTGCAGTGCGGAGTTTGCTGGCCCCGAAAGTCGTCCGCGACTCCCGGACCCTGGTTCGCGAGAGCAGGCCAAATGAATCCGACATCGTCCACAAGCGCTCTTTTGCTTCTCCCGGACTGTGCGTGCTCCCGTGGCCGCATCTCCGTCTGTCACCATGTGGTGACTGAATGGGCCCCGGCGCGGGGAGAGCGCAATGACGGGCGGGCGACAGCAGGGGAGCGGGCTCAATCCGGTCCTGCACAGACGCCGGCAATACCGACCAGCGTCTTCTGCAGCCTGGGCTACGAATAAGATGTTGCGGTGCGCGCTGGTTGTGCTACGCGAGGTCGGCCCCGTGCGCGGTCGGGCCATCGAACTCCGACCGCAATTCTCAAACCTTGTTCGTAACCACGTGGTTACCAACTGAATCGGGCCACGGAGAGCGTCGTCCCCAGGCACGAGGGGTGGGAGCTTGAAGGGAGCCTCCGAAAGTGGGCCGCTCAGGACGCGCGGCGTCGGCGGCGCCGCCGGACCGTGCCCGCGAGCGGGCGACTTCGGGCGACCCCGCACCCGGAAGCGGAGTCCGCGGCCTTCAAAACACGAAACTGCCCCTCAAACTCCCAGTAGTATCGTGCTTTGTATGGTGAAAATCGCGCAGGAGGGTCGTTGTTCTCCCCCGCTTTCAAAACTAGAGCCACCGCGCCGCTCCTGTGGCCAGAACCCCCGTTATCCGGCCCCGCAGGGCGTTATCCGGCCAAGCAGAGCGTTATCCGGCAGCCAGAGGCCGTTATCCGGCATTATCCGGGCATCGGCCGACTTTATCCCGGTCGGTATAGAGAGCTGTGGGCCCTCCGATGCACCAGCCGCAGGACCCTGAATTGCGACGACTAATTGGATCGGTTTCCTGGGACCAGAACGCTCCGACCGCGCAGCGGACGGCCGATTCGGGCAAAATACGGTACGGGAACACCCAGCGGACCGATCGGGTGGGGTTTCGAGGGCACGGCGGAGGGGTATCCTCGGAAGACGCGCGGGGCGAGTTTCTCGCTGCCGCCGTCGCATCTGGCCTTTTCTCGGCCGGCGGGCGATCCGCCGCTAATATATGCAGATAGCGGCAAAGAAAATGATAAATTGACAGGATTCGCTGGCACCGTTTGGTCCGGAAGGTGGGATTTTCGAGAGCAACGAGGTCCGGAAGAGGGGGACCCGAGCCCCCTCCAAGCCGGCAGCCCGCGTAGTTCCAACACATGCAAAGTCGAGCACTATCAAAAGCTTTCATCAAACTGCAGCGTGCCAAGCACTTCTCCCGCGCCCGAATTCGTTTGGAAACCGTCTCTTGTTCGCGCGCCCGATCGTTCGCTTGTGGCCGAGAGTCGACGCGGAGGGGCCGCGTTGCGCGGACGAACATCGAACTTGGATCTTGCTCCGCGCGGCACGTCGCGATGCCAGGGCCGGAGACGCCGCCGCGCGGACCTGCAACAGTCGATCCTCGTGCTGGCGGTGCGAAGCCTGTTCTTTCCTTTCCCTGGACGTGACCATCGCGTCACTGAGCTTCGCGAACGCGTTGTTCTTTCCTTTACCTGGATTTAGAGTGTCGTTGGTCCATTGGTGTAGAGGCTGAGCACGGGGGACTTTGAACCAGCTAGCTGGCATTTCTGTTGCTAGTCGTAGGAAGTTCATCCCCAGACCTCGGTTCGAACCCGAGATGGACCTCGTTTTTTTTATTACCCTTTTCGGCACTGCAGGATTTCTTTCCCTGCTTCCTCTGGGCCGGGCGGGCGGTCCTTGCCCGCCGCCCCGGCGCCGCGCCAGCTCCCGGCCCCTGCTCCCCCGACGCGCGCTCCGCCAGCCGCATCCGCGGCGGGAACAGACCATTCAAATCGCCTTCCCACGTTGCCCAACTTGGAGGGCTCGAAGAAGGCGTTTCGAAGGTGCTTGCACGGCCGCTCCGTGGCAGTGCCGAAGTGTGCATCCCTACTCCCCCGGTTACCTTGTGCCGTGCCCACCCGCAGTACACGATGGACCTCAACGTCACCTCCTTCTTCCTCATCGTCAAACATTCCGCGCCTTACCTCGCCAAGACCGCGGCATCCCTGCCCGTGGACAAGCCCCTAAGGCCCCCGACCACCTCCATCGTCGCCATCTCCAGTCTGCACAGCGTGCGAACCATGAAGTACCACTCCGCCTATGCCGTCAGCAAGAGCGCCGTTTGCGCGACTGTCAGGGCCGCGGCGGCGGACCTGGGATCCTACGGAATCCGCGTCAATTCGGTCATGGTGGGCTTCGCACGGCAAGATCAGCGAGCGGCCTTACTGACTCCTTCTCCTTCTCGCACCGCAGCCCGGTCTGATCCCCACCGAGCTGATTGCACCAGCCCTCGGCACCCCGCTCTTCCCGTCCTACACCGAGAACCAGATCCTCAAGCGCGTCGGCGACGTCGGCGACCCCGCCGACCTCGTGCGCTTCCTCGCCGGGCCCGAAAGCAGCTGGATTACCGGCGAGTCCATTTCTGTCGACGGGGGGCAGCATGTCTACGCCGGTGGGGTGCCGAAACATTGGGAGGCGCTCAGCGAGATGTTCTTTGGAGAGGCCGGGGTGGAACGGATGAAGATGCCCGAGATCGAGCCTTGAAGGCAATGCCAATCCCGCAACGTTACTGTATACTCTAGATCAGAGGCACATTCCGGAGGTCTGACCCCCCGTTCCCTCGGTTCCCAATCTCCCCGATCCGCGGATCACCAGGTCTCCCCAAAGGGCCTGATCATCACGTCGAACGTCCACGTCGACCTCGGCTGGTGCACGATCCTGAAGCACTCCTCGGCAATGTCCTCCGTCTTGGCGAAGAACTCCTCCGGCTTTTCCGGGAACCACTTGCTCCGCACGGGCTCCATGTCGATCGCGGCGTCGATGGCCACGTAGGCCGCGTGGACGCCCTTGGGGCCCGAGGTGCGGGCGATGGCCTCGAGCAGGATGCGCTGGGCGGCCTTGGTGGGCGCGTACGAGGCGAACGTGGGCTTGCCGCGGTACGCCGAGGTGTTGCCCGTCGCGAGGATCGCGCCGCCGCCGGCGGCCACCATGTCCGGCACGGTGAGCTGGCTCAGGCGGAGCAGCGCCGTCGCGTTGACCCGGAAGTTGCGCTCAAAGTCCTCGGGCTTGGCGTCCAGGTAGCTGCCCATCGACGCGGCCGACACGGCGTTGTGGACGACGACCGAGATGTGGCCCAGCTCGGCCTTGACGCGGGCGACGGTCGCCTCGAGCTGCGCGAGGTCGGCCACGTCGCAGGGGAAGGGGACCAGCAGGTCCGGGTTCTCCCGGGCGAACTCGGCGAGGCGGGCCTGGTCGCGGGCCAGCATCGCGACGCGGTAGCCGCCCGCGGCGAAGCGCCGCACGAGGGCGATGCCGGTGCCGCGGCCGACGCCGGTGATGAGCGCGATCTTCTTCGCGGCGGGGGAGGCCATCGCGCGTTGAGCAACGCCGGCAGGTCTCGAGATGTCCCGGCCAGGCACCTGGGAGACACTCGCGCCATCGTTCATGCCTCAATCGATCAACCAAGTGGACAACAGCAAATGCAGAATCTCGTGCGAACGATCAGAAGCGAGTGGCTACAGAGTTGGCTCGTGTGTGATTCTCAGCAGGCGACCTCTGCAGCTGCACCATCGTGCCGAGTACAGAAATGCGGCGGAGAGGGCATCAAGCTTATCGCCATGTCCCGGGGCGTCCAGCCTTTGGAAGCAGTACTGGGACTTGATGTGGAAGCTAGCAATCGTCGCCCTCGACCGCTTTCTCCCGCGGCTACCACGGAGAGTGTTGCGGACGGTTGATCCGCCTGGCTGTGCCCGCTCCCCCCGAAACCCGACCGAAGCCCCCCGCCGCAGCCACGATGCCCCGGGTTGCGGCCTTTCTCGTGCTAATTGCTGTTCTCGCGCTCGTCCGAGCTGCGTCCGCCGCGGGCGGCGGCGGCCCCCGCTTCGCCGCGGGCGACCGATGGTGCGCGATCCCCCGCGGCACAGCACGCCGCGCTGACCTCCCGCCCGTGCAGCTGCGCGGGGTGCGCCTACGCGAGCGGCTGCTGCTGCGCCGGTCCCACGGCAAAGACCGTGATCGTCGCGCGGTATGCCACGCGCACGGCGGTGCGCACCGTCACGGCGACCGCGGTGGCCGGCAACGGCGCGCGCGTCGGGCTGCGCAGCGCATCGCGTGCCGCGGCCGGCGGGGCGTCGACCGGCCCCGAAGCCGCTGCATCTGCCTTTCTCTTCGGAAGGGATGTCGCGGCCGATGCCGTCGCAGAGGACCACCCCATGGATGACTCGCGAGCGCGCCTCCTACCACGGCATCTCTGCCCTGCGTGCCCGAGCGGAACCTCCCTGGTCAAGCGCTCGTCAAAGGGCGGCAACCTCGCATACTGCTGCCCGGCTCGCAAGACCGTCACAATCACAAGAACGATCGGTACCAAGATCCTGACCAAGAAGACAACACGGACCGTCACGCTGACTCTGTCGAGCACCACAGCAGCCATATCGACTACTGCCACTCTCTCGACCACATCTACCCCGTTCATCAACGTGAGCGCCCGACTCGGCTCCCATCTCGCGCGCTCGTGCCCACCGATCGATCCGCAGAACACGCTCATCCCCTGCATCAACAACACCAACTCCTACTACCGCTGCCCCAACTTTGCCTCCTCCGGCCGCGCCTGCAACCCCCAGAACGCCGCCCTCCTCCCCGCGGGCTCCACGAGCTCCACGGGCGCGTGCTTCGCCGTCAACAGCGAGTTCTGCTGCGTCGAATACGACTACGTCGCCGTCAACCTCAAGCCCTGCGCGGTCATGTGCAACGCCGCGCCCGATACGTGGCCTGTGCTCACGGCCGACAACCAGGCGATCGCGTGCGACGCTGCCAGCGGGGCGACGGGGGGCGGGGCGGGGCAGTGCTTCACGGCGCAGGGGATGACGGCGGGGAACATCGGGACCTGCTGCTCTGTGGTTTGACCGGAGCTTTGCTATCCTCTATTCTGAAGATGGAACACCCCGAGAAGTTGATGCTTGCTCGGGTGAATCGGTCATCGCGTCCTCTGTCTCCCTGGGTTCTTGGGCACTGCCGACACCGAGGCCCCAATCCCGCCCATCCCGCCCGCTCCCCCGCCGCAGCGATGTCCGCCGCGCCAATGAAATCCGCAACGGTCGCCGCGGACCCGCGCGACATCAACAGCGACGGCAAAGGTGGGCGGCCACCGCGCCGGCACGTCCGCCCGCAATGCCGACCAACGCCCGCCTTCCGCCGCCAGTCGACGCCAAGGAGCACCTCATGCAGGCGGAGAAGCTCATGGACGCCGCGGAGCGCGAGACGGAGGAGGCGATTGAGCAGGCCCGGAAGGACAACCAGCCGGCGCTGCTGGCCGCGGCTACAAAGTTGAATGACGCGCTGGAGGACGCCAAGGAGGACCTGGACGACGCCATCCAGGGGGCCAAGAAGATGATTTCCGACGCCGTGCCGGACGTGATCGAGGACAATGTTCTGGTGGTCTGGCGGGCCGTGAACTACGTCGCCGGCGACTTTATCGGCTTCCTCAACAAGCGGGGGAGTATCGTGGACACTTCCCTGGGCCTGATCATCGCGTCTGCGCTGCAGTCGTTCTTCCGCTCCACGGTGGACGACGTGTTCAAACCCCTCTTTGCCTACTTCGGCCTCTTTTCCGCCGAGGGCACGAGGATGAGGGTGCTCAGGCCGGGCAAATCCGGCGCGAGGACCTACGAATCCCTCCAGGCGGCGCGCAACGACGACGCGATCGTCCTGGCCTGGGGTCACTGGCGCAGCGCGCTGGGGGACTTTGCTTCGATCGCGCTCGGGCTGTTCATCATGGCAAAGATCATCGGGATGGTGCAGAAGAGGGAGGAGCAGGGGCAGAAGGCTGCCAAGCCCTTACCTCCGGCCGCCCCGACAAAGACCTGCAAGAGGTGTCTGGAGACTGTCAACGGTGAGATCTGATGGAGCGCGCGAGCGAGGTTCTTGCTGACCCCGAACTGCAGCTGCCGCGACAGGCTGCAAATACTGCGGCGTGGATCTCAACTAATCAGGTTGTAATGTATTCGACGGACTATGTAATGTACCAGACACGGCACTTCCCGTCCAACGCTTGATTGGGGCGCTGATCGATCGCACCAGCGAGTGTCAATAACGCGCCAGCTTCGGTTGCGAAGAACGCGATACCGCCTCTTGCCTCCTGCTCGATGGCGGGAAGGTTGACACCGTCGCTGCTCCGAGCGGGCATCGGGCAAAACGGCCCTTCTGCGGCCGTTCCCGGCGTCCGGACTTTCGGGGTCCTCTGCGTGCCGGCGACGCGCCGTCGGCCCCGTGCGGGCCCGCGGAGCGCCCGACACGCCTCTCAGCGCTCTATATCATCGGCTGCTCCCGAATCCGGGCCGTCCGGCCGGGGCCGCGGGGTTGGGCTGCTCCTCGCGCTGGGCTTCGGCGCCGCCGTGTCGCTGCTCGACAGCGAACGCCGCTCGGTCCACGCCAAGTCGCTCAGCGCGTCGGCCCGCGAGCTATGCATGCTGACGCGGCTGAACGACGTCGACGCGCTGAACAGGCTGTTCCCCGAAAAGGGGAAGCAGGAGGTGGGCGGGCGGGACGCATCGGTCAAGCACCCGTTCGGCTGGGCGCCCCTGCATGTGGCCGCGGCCAACAATAACTTGAAGCTGCTCTTGTGGTGGCTC